TTCATTGATAATGGAATCACTTGGCGAGATGCGAACACGATCCGGAAAAAGGTAGATCTTTTTGTCTTATTCAAGTTTCTTTCCTTTCGTGATGTCTCAGTCTCGCTTTATTGATTTCTTTATAAATCAATATTCTTCTACAGATTATGCGATTAGAAGAGGCTTGGCGCAAAGCCGATGGTGAGCGAAACCGGACTGGCCAAGGCACTTTGATGACAGCGAAGGAAGTTAAGGCTGCGAAAGGTTGGGCTGATGATAATCCTGAGTGGATTAAAATGGAGAAGTTAGCATTTGGTAAGCAATCATGCTTGATCTTTGCATGTTTCCCTTATTCTAATGTCTCTTCTCGCATTCTTCTTAGTATCTATCTTGAAGAAGTGTAGATACTTCGTGGAACTGGAGCCCGTCTTTGGAACCCGACATGCTAACGTCAGACTCTCTGCCGCGCACGGTTTACCTGCACCTACTCAAGACCTTGAAAGCGAAGTTCAAATCGAGCGTGATTCAAGAGAACATTCAGTTAATTCGAATCTAGGTTATGAGGAGCTTCAAAGCCGTTCGATGCAAGAGGCATTATCGACTAATGCTGTGGAAGAAGGTTTAAACAGTGGTTCTGAAGAGCCCACTATGGAAGACTTCATGAATGTCTTGAATGACAAAGATGAAATTACAGATGACGGTCAACCCCCTTACACACCCACCCCATTCCGAGCGAGAGAATCTAATCAAGCCCAATCTCAAACTCAAACGACGTCTTCATCACTCAAGCGCACAGGTTCTAGAAACTCAGTGGACTCTACTAGCGTTGGGACCTTCAGCAAAAGGAGCCGAACTTCTGGTTCGGCGTCATCAATTCAGGGTCTCTTACAAGGACACCATTTCGGATCAACCCCACTACAAGCGAGTTCAAATGTCCGAGCGGATCCAAACATCAATTCTTTGGAGCAACAAGTCTTTTTTAAACATGGTCAAAGTATGGAACGTTTGGCTCAGGTAGTTGAAAACATGGGTAGCTCTATTTGTGGACAACAACCGAAACAAACCGAGTTCAGCCCTGAAGAAGCAAAGAAAAAATCTCAGATTGAACTGGAATTGGTCGATGTGAAGTTAAGTAGTGATAAGTTTGATTTGGACTCGCGAAAGGAAAAACATTCACTTGAGATGAAGCAAATGAAAGCGGAATATGAACATCAACAAGTGGCTAGAAATGCTCACCTGATTAGTACCTTGATGAAAGAGCATAATCTCAGCCTTCAGGACGCAATGCTTGCTGCACAACACGCACAATCAATGATGCAATCGACTTCCGGTTCCGGTTCAGGTGTTTGAATACTTATATCTCTTATACTTTATTTTTGGACTTCCTCAAAACTTCAAATCTTTAAAAAAAAATTAAAACCTCTTCCAATTCATTTTTTTTATTTGTTTTACATCCCTTTTTGATATCTAAAATGATTCCTCTTAGTATTAAATAGGTGTCAATTGTCTTGCTCTTGCTTGTTTGCACTCAATCTGAAAACTTTCTTTTTGAAATCAAATTTGTCTCGCTCTTGCTTGTTGGCACTCAATCTGATCAATTGTCTCGCTCTTGCTTGTTTGCACTCAATCTGTAAAATTTCAATTTGAAATCAAATTTTATTATTTGCCACTTTCGAAAAGTATCAAATAGATACTTTAATTGCACCAAAAAAGAGAATCCACCAAAAATAATCTTCAACCAAAAAAAGCGAGAAATTAACTGAAACAATTCCACCACAATGAGATCACCAAATCTAAGTAGTAAATTTAAGTTATGTAATATAATAAATATCTTAATCATTTTGTCTGGTCATTATAAATTCAGCAAACAGTTGATCTCTTCGACGTGTATCTCGCTCAGTTCTTAAAATTGGATTGTCATTTTCAAAATTCGGGGCACCAGGAGGTGCGTGTCGACGGCGTGGTTGGTATTCGAGAGCTTCGTCTAACGTACCCAGTACTCCAGACCAGTCCTCTTTGATTGAGATGAGGAAGTTATGTAAGATCAAACATACTTCTATCCAGTGGTTAGCATGCAACGCAGTCAAGGCGTCCTTGAGCACTAATCTAAGTTCCTTTAAAAGATTGAAATCTGACTTTCAACGTTCCGTTACTATGATCGATGATGACCCGTGACACACTGATTGCTTTATTGAA